GGCGTCGGTTGTTTTTTTATGGGTTTTTCATTTGGGCCCATTTGGCATTACGAAACTGATACGGAGTGATGAAAGGGTTCATTGGCATATATTATGTTGGCCAAATCGTATATTCTATGAAGAGATCAGGAACAGAATTCTTTTCAACTATTTTCGGCAGCATCAGCATTTTCACTCTTACATATCCTCAAAAACCGTGCTAGGCGACACCTGCATGTTGTGAAATGTGCTTATGCTGATTATTCTATCTGAATTCAGCTCGCGTACTGCTGTGACTTTTACAAAATTGAAGGATTTTGTAGTCGTGAATTGAGGTTTATTCGGCCTGCTCCAGATTTCCTACACGGAAGAAGTTCTGCTTCATGCAAAAACGAAAGATTGAGGCTAACAACCTCAGTAGTTTTTGAATTCTTTTTGATTTCCAACGCGTTCAACACAACTCGACGTAAGCGTTTCCCAGTAATACGACGAGTTTTTCGTGAATCAAAAAGGCCTCCGTACCGCGAGGCTGGTACGAGAAAAATCGTTTGGTTGTCAGGTGTTAATGTTTGTAGAGAATGACGAAAATTTGACGCTCTCTCACACAAGATGTTCTGACATTTTGAAAACCACAATCAATCACACGGTTTAATCCCCAAAATTATGAAATGTTTGACACTTACTAAATTTCACTTCAAATGACATTTAAGGCAATCGCTTGCTGGCTCCGAAACTGGCCACGCCTTTCAAATGTATTATTCGGTGATTTTAAAGTACAAAAATCTGGGCATTGTACACTTCATGGAGAGGCATTTGTGTGACGACAGCGATGTTTGTACTGCGCAGGTATGAGCGGTAGTCCCTTGCAGAGCAAACTTGAGAAAATGTATGTTGTACTATTGCAGATTATCAACTGTTTCACTGGATTGCGGAAAAACTACTATCCCTCGACCGTTCTTATTTATATGTCAAGTAAGCGATACCCGTTTAGCGATGTTCCTCTGCGCCGAATTTGCATCTCATGGGTTCACTATTTCAGTTGTCCTTATCCATTTTTTTGCAGATATGTCCCCTGAATCCTCTACTGGAACTGCACTGACAGCAATGGGAGTGCGAGTGATGCCTCCCAGTTCTGTGATGCGATCATTTGGTCTGGATTCTCCAAGACAGTCTTTTCAATCCTAGTCCTCTTCCGCCGTGCTTCCAGCTATCCCTATTGTTATGCTGCATTCTAGTATGTAATATATCAGCGCAATATTGTCAAATGTCCATAGATAGATTCATAAGTAGGTACCCATTCTCGTAATTGTTTACCACCGGATGTCCGTACGAGTATTTATTTAGTTTGTTTTCTTTTCTGTGCGATAATCTTTCAGCTTAAACATTCATTTGTTCATAGTCAGGCTGCACACTTATCACATGTTCATTCTTTTGTTGACCATTTTTTCGAAGCTTACCGGTATTTTGCGATGTGTGAATTCTCGGTACTGTTTGTTGTGTTGAGAGGGCTGTATCATTCATTGACTGAAGAGAAAAATGGGTTGTCGAATTGATATCTGTTAAGTACATAGAACAGTTGAATTATAAGGAGTTTGTGTCGGAAAATGGGCTAATACATAAAAATTCTACTTTTTTATTTATACCCTTGTGTCAGCTATTGCTCTGCAATCATTCCTGCTAACGATACGGTGCGTTTCATAGTTAAAGGTCACCCTAAAACCTTGGACAACTGGGGATTTTCCTAGTATCACCATCTGATTCTTCACCTGGATAAGTTCTCTATGGCAATTCTGGCGAGTGCAGCTTCTAGCTTTT